GGCTTCTCCCGGGACGCCTGCCGGCGTTTCCGGAATCGAGACCGGTCCCGCGCGCGCTTTCGGTCGGCGGCGACGACGGATGGGACGCACCCTTCCAGAATTCGTCGTTCGCGCTCATCTCGCGTCCGATCTTCTTGGCGCTCACTTCTCGCTCGGCGCGAACGATGGAGGCTCCGAGCTCCAGGGAGGACGCCGGTCGCGCAGAGTTCGCCGACTCGAGGTACGAGTGCGCGTACGACGCCAGGACGACGGCGAATAGGATGAATACGATGGAGTACCAGAGCCACGGGGATTGCCTGTGAACGTTCGCGGCGGCCTGGAACGCGACGGATTTGGGCGGCGCGGCGGTCGCGGTCGCGGTCGGCTTCGGCTTCGATTCAGCCGCCTCTTTGCCGTCGCCGGTCTCCGCGGTCGACGGTCCGTCGGCGTCGCCATCATCGTCGACAGATTTTGCCGTCGTCGTCGTCGTCGTCGCCGTCGCCGTCGCCGTCGCCGTCGCCGTCGCCGTCGCCGTCGTCGCCGCCGTCGTATTCTCCGACGATTTCTCCGATGTTTTCTCGGTTTGACCGGCGTCGGCGACGTCTTGCGATTTCATCGACACCGTACCCGCGTGCCACACCGACCCCGAGGCGTCGGGACCGTCGCACAGGAACCAGTCCTCGACGCACTTGATCTCCTTCGCAACCTCTTCGGTACCACATGAGGCGGGAAACGCGCCGAGCGTCGACGCGTGCACTGGATCGACGTCTATGACTTTCGTCGCAGCCCTGCCAGTCGTGCACACCTTGTTTTCGAGGCAGAATAAATCTGCCGCAGCGCTCATCCCGCGCAGCGCCTCTAGCCTGGATGCGAACGTATCCTGCGCCTTGGTGTCTTCAATCTGCGCCTCGACCTTATTGAACAGCTTGAGGTCGATTTTATTCCCGCCTTCGATGGACTCGCGCAACTCTTTTGGCTCCTTTGAGACGTCATACGCGTCGTCTTGCATCTCTCCAGACGTGCGATGGAACACTAAGTCCGACAGTTTGAAATCGAAACTATACGTGAGCGCTACCAAGCTCTCGTTTTCTTTCTCTGGCGATCCAATGGGCACGAGAGCGGCGTATTTAGCTCTGGTTCGTCGCTCGGCGCTGGACGGCGTCTCACTCTTTTCAACAGTGGTCCCTCGCAGGCGTGTCGTTTGCGGATTCGACGTAAACCCCGGACAGCCCAGGATTGTCTTCTTCTGCGTGGCGGTGATGTACTTTTGCATGTCGGCGAACCCCGTCTTACATCGCATCGAAGCGCACTTCTTTCGCAACACGTCGAGCGATTCCGTGAAATTTGAACACGATTCCAACTCGGGCACGGGCGCGAACTCGGCGTCACCGCTCGTGATGTAGTGCCTCGCCGCGCGGTACATGCGTTCAAACGCAAATTGTACCGGATGCGCCACCTCACCAATCCACCTCGAGTCTTCCTCGGCGACGGTCGACATCCAATCCTCCCGGGCGCTCCCGACGGCGACGCCGCCGAGCCGAGCAGATTTCCCCCCACCCAAAGCCTTCAGCTGCGACGCCACCGAGTCCTTATCGACCACACACGCGCCAGTGCACGAAATTGGCTTTCCCGAACACGTACCGGGACGAATAACGACCGCGTTTCGCCTCGCCGCGAACCGAGCGAGCGTCCTCGTTAAAGACGACTCTCCGTACGAGCGTCCGACATCCGCCAAAACCACCCCCACCGCTCGAACGTCATCACTCGAGTCCTCCTCCTCGATCGGCTCCACAAGCTTCACGCGCGCGCGTGACGTCTTCGGCGACGACGTGTCCAGCAGATACGTCTCCAAATCTGAAGACGCTTCGTCTTCGTCTTCGTCTTCATCCTTCGTCGCCGCTCCGCGCGTCTCGTCACCCATCGCCTCCAACGCCCGCGCGAGCGCCGCCGCGGTGTCATCACCCACCGTCGAATTCACCAACCCCACAACCGCGCTCGCCAACGCCTCACCCGCGCCGACGCCAGCCTCCACCGCGTTCGCCGCGTTTCTCGCCGCCGTCCCGTTCGTCGTTCCGCCCAGCTCTCTCAACGCCTCCTCGTACGCCGCCGCCGCCATCGACGCGTTCGTCGCCGACGCGAGCTCCATCAGCGTCTCCGAGATCGCTCGCACCGTCGCGTTCATCGTCGCGGGCGACGCATCGTCCACGGTCGAGGTCGATGATGTCGACGCCCGCTCGACGGTCGACCCATCCTTCGCCTCGTCGTCCGCGCGGGCGACGAACGCGAGGGCGAGGGCGAGACAGCACGCGTGGGCGAGTCTGGACGCGCGCGAGGTCCGCGACCGAGGCCGACGACGCATGCGCGGCGACCCGTCGGGTGGTCGACGTGTGACGACGGGCGATCGCGAACGACGCGGGACGACTGGGCGACCGAATGAGACGTTGGTGACGCGTGATGGGTGGAGATTACACGTTCTTCTTGTAATCGCCCATGAGGTGGGCGAATCTCGAGATGAGCGTCGCGAAGAAACCGTAGTCGAAGAGCTTGAGGAGCATGCGGAAACCGATGGCGACGCCGCCGACGTCGTGCCACAAGACGCGACCGATCGGGCGGAACATCTCCGTCGGTAACTCCTCCGGCTTCACCGCAAAGTTCATGAAAAAGTTGAGTGAGTCCAATTTATGCGCTTTGTCGTAAAAGTTACTCGCCACCGGGCTCGGATGCACGGCGCACACGTCGATTCCTCGAGACTTTAACTCGACGCCGATGTTGGCGGCGAAACTCGAAATGTACGCCTTCGTCGCCCCGTACATCGCCGAAAACGGCGTGGGTTGACACGCCGCCGCGCTCGAGGTGAAAACAACGCACCCTCTCAGTTTTTTTGCCAACATCCTTCGCACGAAGACGTGCGTGATTCGCATCGCGCTCGTCGCGTTGCACTCGTTGTTCGCGTTCAACTTCTCCAACGGCTGCTTATCGAAAAAGCCCGTGAGCATGAACCCGGCGTTATTGAACACCACCTGCACATCCACGTCCTCCAACGCCTTCGAGATCGTCTCCACGTACGCCCCCGACTGATCGCCGAGATTACATCCAATTTTTCGAATCTCGCTCGTCGCGCCGAATTTCTCCCGCAGCGCCCGACACGTCGTCTCCAGATGTTCGTCATCCAGCGCGCACACCGCGACGTTCAGCCCTTGTTCCGCGAGCGCGAACGCCAACGATCGTCCGATTCCCGTGGACCCACCGGTGACGAGCGCCCACTGCGCGTCGTACTTCTTCTTTAAATCCTGACTCGGCATCATCTGCACCGCCACCTTTGGCACCCAATACGTCAACAGCGCGACGAGGCCGTAGAGCGCCAAGACGTGCGAGACGCACGCATCGACGACGGTATCCCGCACCAGCGCGCGGACGTAGGGAATCGGGAGATAGCTCAGGGCGCCCATGTCCCGCGTCGCGCGTCGCGCCCTCGCGGGTTTTTGAAATCCCGACGCGGACCCGAACGGACGCGACGCGTTGAACGACGCGCGATTCGACGCGCCGCAGACGCCGCCGACGCCCGTCTCGCGCGCGCGGGACGGGCGAACGATGGATAAAAAATTCACGCACCGCGTCGCGCGACGCGGACGCGGACGCGGGCGTGCGGGCGCGCGTGACGACGGCGTCGCGCGCGCGGGCGTGGGGGGCGTGCGGGCGCGACGATGGCGCGCTGCCGGCGACGCGACGCCGCGCGCGGGCGCGCGCGGTGGGAGCTGACGCGTGTAGATATTATTGCCATCACTCGGGCGCGGCGCGCGCCGACGTGGGTGCCGTGAATGACGGCGGTGGGCGCCGCGGGTGGATGGAGCGCGCGCGAACCGCGCGCGCGCGGAGAGACGTCCAGCGCGGAGCGACGCTCACGCGAAGACGAAGGTGGCGCCGACGGTGATGAGGGCGACCATGGTCGAGGCGGCGAAGCCGGCGCTGGACTTGGTGGGGACGTCGTTGATGGTCGGGTCGATGAGCTCGGCGACGGAGGCGTTGAGGCGGATGATGTCGACGGTGGACACTTTGTTGCCCTCCAAACCAAAGTCGTTGTCGTTGGCGATGACCATGGTGTAGTTGTTCAGGAAGGCGAAACCCTCGACCTTGGCGCCTTCGCCTCGGGCGACGTAGCCGTCGACCGTGGCGGTGTCAACGACGAGCTTTTTCGTGGCGAAGGCGTTGAAGCCGAGCTTGGCGGTGACGTTGACCTTCTTCACGAGCACATTGAGTGACGCGGCGGAGTTCTTGGACTCATCGATGTACTCCGCAGCGGAGAAGTCAGCGATGTGAATGCGCACGCTCGGATCTCGCTCGAGCACGGCGATGACTTGCTTGTTGTTCGTCACGCCATATTCGGGTCCAAGCCAGAAAGCAGCGGAGACCTTGACCCTGTCCATTTTGCCGAAAGACGTGAAGCCCCACTCTTGGTACGAATCAAGCGGGTACAACTTCGTGCCGATCATTTTCGCGTTGAGCGGATCAGTGATGTTGAGGAAGGCAACCAGGGTGAACTCGCAGTCTTTGCCATCCTCGGTGCTGCCGGCGCCGAGACCGGCTTCGGTTCGGTAAGTCGCATCCGTGACGACCATGCAACTTTGCATGAACGCGGCAGCCGTCTTGCCATCCGGGCTCACAGCGACGCCCTCGAGACCACGGTTAGCGCGGCGTTGATCAAACGATCGCGGGAGGATATTCTTGACATCGTAGCCCGCATTCGGAAGGCTGATGCTCTCCGGAACGTATCGTACTTTCACCATGCCGCAGTTCGTGCTGGCGAAATCGATGTCGACCACGGAGATGGAGGGGTTGTACTCGTCAACGATCACGGCATAGTTCGTGCCTGGAATAGGTTGGATGTCTTCCGCGTCTTGTCCACCCTCATCATAGGGAAGCTTGTTTCGGCACCATCCATCGTACGGGGTGTCGTCGTTGGTATTCGTCGGCAAGCCGGTTACATCCGTCGTGAAATTTTCCGGCGCTGTAGCGCGCTTCAAGTTGCAAGTTTTGTCGAGGACAAACCGGTTGTTGGTCTTGTCCAAATATCCCTTGACAATCGTCGGGGAGAATTTCGGAACCGGGAAGCCTTTTCCCTTCGATACGGAGGGTCCAGTGAACCCGGTGGGATACGTGTATTGTTGACCCGTAGTGTTGAAGTCATCGGCGATATCGCCGCAATCTTGGTTTGGGCCACGGTCGGTGATACCCATGAGGTGAATTGTTCCGTCAGAGGCGACGCTGTGCAAAGTGAGCCCCGAACCGATCGCCGGCGTGTCGAAACACGTCGCGAAAAAGCTTCGCGAAGAGCAGGCAGTGCCGCTCAAAATTGCGTCGTTTTTGCTCTCCGAGTCTGTGAGGAATGCGTTGAGGGTCTGCAAACCATTCGGCGAATGCACGTTCGTCACGTCGACAAGAACCGAGGCCGGCGTCGCCGCGCTCGTGAAGAGATCGCGCGTCCCGTACAGGTTTGCTGCTGAGACGCCGTCGACGAGCGCCGAGGCGCCCAAGATCGCGAGACCGATCGTGTTCATGATTGACGCGAGCCGTGGATGAAGAGAACGTGTGAAGTATGAAGTTCCGCCGCGTTCGTTCGACGCAGGCGATGACGTCACGCCGAAGTTTGCACAGCACATTCGGTTTGCATTCGTTGTTGAATATTCCTTCGCCGATTCGTCTTCGCGAGAAAAGATTCCTCGCGCCACTCGGACTCGAGTCATGGCTCAATTTGGTACTGTTTGCTCACACCAGGGAACGCGGTGCGTCACTTTTCAGGCGTTTTCCCATTCATAGGAGGATATGATTGATTGTATGATACTTTGAATTGCGCGACGCGATTCGACGAGGCGTTCGACGACCCCGGACGGGCGACGGGGGACGACGACGGGCGCGCGCGGCCCATTCGCGTGGGTTTCGCCCGTTCGTCGTCGTGGTCTCGTCCGTGAACACGCGTAGACGATTCCGGGCGCGATGCGCGCGGTCCGATCGACCACCGTCCCGACCGCCGCCGCGCGCGCCGTCGGGCGACGACGGCGGACGTCCACGACCGCGACCGACGACGACATCGCGACCGACGCGCGATGGACCCGACGCGCGAACCGCGCGCGCGGTGAACGCATCGACCCCACGGCGCGCGCGGGCATCACCCGGTGCCGCGCGCGCGCGTCTCGCGCGGCGCGACGCTTCGGGAACCGCCGCCGTCGCCGCGCGCCGCGCCGCGCCACCCGCCCCGTCCGCCGTCACATCCACCGACGCGCGCGATCGCACGCGGCGCGCGCGTCACCGTCCACGCGTCGTCCCGACGCACCGCGATCGACACCGCGCGCGACGCGCGCGACGCCGTCGCGCGCACGGTGCCGCGTGACACGCTCGACGTGCCGACACGGCGACGCGCGCATCGCGGGACCGTCCGCGCGCGCGCGCGATCGCGCCGAGACGCCCGCGCGGGCGCGCGCGCGACGCGGTGGGGTCGACCGCGGCGTCGACGCGGCGCGCCGCGCGCGACGAAGGGGGCGAGACACTCGGGTGTGCGTCACGCGCGACCTGGGGGCCTCCGTCGCGCGCGCCGTGGGACCATGGCGTGGGGTGATTTCTTGAGTCCGGACTCGTGAAAGAGGCTCTCGAATGCGCGCGAAATAACCGACAAGGCACCTCCGACGATTCGATTCCGTCGAGCCATCGCGCGGGCACAGCGCGACGCGCGACCGTTCCCGAGGCCCGCGCGCGCGCGGAGACGGTCGAACGTTTTTTTGTGTCTCCACGTCTCGAGCGTCGAGCGTCGGAACATTCGTCGTCGACGCGCGGTCGACGCCTGGTGAGAAACAATCGAAACAATCAACGCGATGGCGCTCGCGCGCGGGCGTGGACGTGCGTTCGCGTCGACGCCGGTGACGACGCGTCGAGGGCGCGCGCGCGCGCGCGTGCGCGCGTCGGCGGCGCGAGATGTCTCGCCTGATCGCGTCGCGGCGAGCGCGACGGGGGCGAAGACGGGGAAGCGCGTGTTTCGCTTTGGCGCGGGCGCCGCGGATGGCGCGCGGGACGCCAAAGGGTCGCTCGGAGGTAAAGGCGCGAACTTGGCCGAGATGTCTCGAGTCGGCTTATCGGTCCCGCCCGGGTTCACGGTGACCACGGAAACGTGCGCGGATTACCACGAGAATGGGAGCGAGTTACCTCCGGGGGCGTGGGAGGAGATGGTGGAGGGGCTTGGGCACATCGAACAGGCGCTCGATAAAAAGCTCGGCGACGCTGAGAACCCGTTACTCGTGAGCGTGCGATCGGGCGCCGCGGTGAGCATGCCAGGAATGATGGATACCGTGTTGAATCTCGGATTGAACGACGCGTGCGTCGAGGGGTTGGCGAAGAAGGCGGGCGGACGCTTCGCGTTTGACTCGTACCGTCGATTCTTGGACATGTACGGCAACGTCGTCATGGGCGTCGATCATCACAAGTTCGAGAATGCTCTCGAGCGAATGAAGAAAGATGTCGGGGCGAAGAGCGACGAAGACCTCACCGAGGCCAACCTTCGCGATCTCGTCGAGATCTACAAGGGGGTATACGCCTCGGAGGGCGTCGCGTTTCCGCAGGACCCTTACGAGCAGCTCAAGCTTGCCACTTTCGCGGTGTTCGACTCGTGGAACAGCGACCGGGCGAAGAAGTACATGTCCATCAATAAAATCACCGGTTTGAGGGGCACGGCTGTGAACATCCAGGCCATGGTCTTCGGAAACATGGGCGAGACCTCCGGCACCGGCGTCTTGTTCACTCGTAACCCGAGCACGGGTGAGAACAAGTTGTACGGCGAGTACTTGGTCAACGCGCAGGGTGAAGACGTCGTCGCAGGCATCCGCACGCCGAGCGATATCTCCACCATGGCGGAGGCGCTCCCGCAAGCGTACGATCAGTTGGTCAAGAACTGTGAACTCCTCGAGTCGCACTACAAGGATATGCAGGACATTGAATTCACCGTGCAAGAGGGCACGCTCTACATGCTTCAGTGCCGAAGCGGCAAGCGTACGGGCGCGGGCGCGGTGAAAATTGCGGTTGACCTCGTCAAGGATGGTTTCGTCACCGAGGAAGAAGCCGTACAAATGGTTGAGCCAACGCACGTGGATCAACTGCTGCACCCGCAATTCAAGGATGAAAAGGCGTACAAGCCGGACGTCATCGGATCTGGTTTGCCCGCGTCTCCGGGCGCTTCCGTGGGCCAAATCGTCTTTACCACCGAAGATGCCGAGGTTGCGAAAGCAGAAGGGCGCAAGGTGATCCTCGTTCGCGTCGAGACGTCTCCAGAAGATGTCGGCGGCATGGACGCCGCTGAGGGCATCCTCACCGCGCGCGGCGGCATGACCTCCCACGCCGCCGTCGTCGCGAGAGGCTGGGGTAAGACGTGCGTCTCCGGTTGCACAGATTTAACCGTCGATGAGCGAGGTAAGACACTCACGCTCGGTGGCGTCACCTTGGTCGAAAACGACTGGCTCAGTCTCAACGGTACCACTGGTGAAATCATCCGCGGCCGCGCCGAGCTCGCTCCGCCATCTGTGACCGAAGATTTGGGCCTCTTCATGTCTTGGGTTGACAAGTTCCGCACAATGAAGGTGTTCACCAACGCCGACACCCCTGAGGACGCCGCCGCGGCGCGCGCGAACGGCGCCGAAGGTATCGGTCTCGTGCGTACGGAGCACATGTTCTTCGGAAGCGGCGAGCGCATCCGCGCCGTGCGAAGAATGATCATGGCCAAGGACACGCCGTCTCGCGAAACCGCCCTCGATGAATTGCTTCCTTACCAACGCGAGGATTTCAAGGGTATCTTCGTCGCCATGAGTGGTCTTCCAGTGACGATTCGCCTCCTTGATCCACCGCTTCATGAATTCCTGCCGGACGGTGAGCTCGACGACGTCATCTCTCTCCTCTCTGAGGACACTGGTGAGGATGAAGACTCGATCGTCGATCGTATCGAAAAGCTCGCTGAAGTAAATCCGATGCTTGGTTTCCGTGGCTGCCGTTTGGCCATCACGTACCCGGAGATTGCTCGCATGCAAGTCCGAGCAATTTTCGAAGCCGCCATCGAGGCCGAGAAGGAGGGCTCCACCGCTATCCCTGACATCATGGTCCCTCTCGTGGGAACGGTCGCCGAACTCGAGGATCAAGTCGCGCTCATTCGTCAAACTGCGAGCGTGGTGTTCGCGGAGCAAGGTAAGACGATCGATTATCGCGTCGGTACGATGATTGAGATTCCGCGAGCGGCGCTTCTCGCCGATCAAATCGCCGCTCACGCTGAGTTCTTCTCCTTCGGTACGAACGACTTGACGCAAATGACGTTCGGCTACTCTCGTGACGACGTCGGTAAGTTCTTGCCAACCTACCTCGAGAAGGGAATCCTGAAGCACGATCCGTTCCAAGTTATCGACCGCGACGGCGTCGGACAACTGATTAAGATGTCCGTCAAGAATGGCCGCAGCGCGAGATCCGACTTGAAGGTCGGCATCTGCGGTGAACACGGAGGAGAACCGATGTCGGTGGAATTTTTCGCCCAGAGCGGACTCGACTACGTGTCGTGCTCACCCTTCCGCGTTCCGATCGCTCGTCTCTCGGCCGCGCAAGCTGCCATTCGCGCGAAGAAGGACGTCAGTCCTCCGTAAGCAAAATCAAGGCCGCTCGACGGCCACTGGGCAACATAATAAACGCACGCTCGCCGCACATCCAATACACTATCACCAGCCCCGCGTTTACTGTTATACTTCACACGTCTTTTGTAAAACTACACATGAACGAACGAGACACATACAGACACATTCAAAGGCGCGCGCGGATGAGACGTTTGCAGAGATGATTGTTCTTTGACTACAGTCACCCAGGCTAAGGCTAAGGAAATTACGCACCAACTGCTCGATGCCGTCATTCCGTTTAACGGTAACGACGGAGGGAGAGTCGGTTGTTGTTGCGCCAGGTCGCGCGCTTGGACGGGCGAGACTTGGTGTAGTTGTGGCCCTTGCCGCGCAAGCCGCGGTACTTGCGGCCCGCCGACGTAAGACCGCGCATTTCGCGGTGCTTGTGCGTCGGGTTGCAGATCCAGTTAATGCGCGGATCGTTGCGGATGCACTTGTGCATCGGGTCCACCATGATCACTTCATAGTACTTGTACACGGAATCTTGGTTCAACCAGTACGAGTTCAATACGCGAAGCGCGCCGCATCGTCGCGCCGCGCGCTCCTCCGCGACGGATCGCAAGTTGCGCGCAAACTTCAACTTGGTAATACCGCAGTGCACCGGCTTACCGTACACCTGGCCCTTCGGCACAGGGCGCTTGCGGCCACCTCTGCGCACGCGGGCGCGGTAGATGACGAAACCTTGCTTGGCCTTGTACCCAAGGCGTCTCGCCTTGTCCGGGCGCGTCGGGCGCGTCACGCGGCAGATGGACGGAAGCTGACGGTACTCCCACACGCGAATGCGCTGCAAGAATCGCATCACATCGGATTGCTTCTTCTTCCAAAGTTCTTCGACATACTTGTAAGCCTGTGATCGAGTAAACGAGCGAAACATCGTCAGTCATCGTTCTCGCGCTAGGGCTTTCATCGCGTGATTCCTCCATCGCCCCTCTCCACCGTCGCGCGAGACCTCCGTGGACACTCGGACCGAAGAAACGCATCGATACATTTCTCACGCCTCCCGCCGCGCCCTCGATCGCGTCTCGTCCCCCGACCGAGACGCGAGGACGCCGTCTTCATCGCGAACGCGATCGCCGTCGCCAGCGCCCTCGTCGTCCGCTCGCGCCACCGCTCGCCCGCGCGCGCGTCGCCCGCGCGACGCGACGACGCGCGCGCGTCACACGCGCGCGCGTCGCGTCGAAGCACACGCACCCCCATGGTTCTTCTACGGCGTCGCGAGGCGCAAAGAGACGGACGCGGCCGTCGCGCGCGCCGGGGTGGACAGAAAAAGAAAACCTCGAGGACGATGTGACGATGCCTAAAAAATCACGCGATGGATAAAGTACAGATGTACTACGTGTTTCGGGCGTCACGCGTGCGCTCGCGCGCGTCCACGCGCGCCGACGCGCGCGCGCGCGCGCGCGCCGTCGCCGCGACGGGCGCGACGCGCGCGAGGTGTACATTTCAGCGTTCCGTGGACGTTTCCGACGTCCGCGCGCTCGGCATCGGCGCTGACGCGTACGGTGCACCACTGTTCCGCCCGGGGCGTCGCACCAATCGTCTCGACGGGATGCTCCATAGTAGAGCCAGATTCGAGGCATGAGACGAGAGGAACGCGCCGAGTCTTTTCGTCACCGATCGCGCGCGCGACGTCGCGGACGCACTCGTCGTCGATCGATCGCGCGCGCGCCGATCGACCGCGGGCGAGACGGTGGGGCGACGCGGTCGATCGATGACGTGTGGGCGATGACGGCCCCCGCGTGGACGCGCGTGATGTGCGCGGTCGCCGCCGCCGCGGTCGCGCTCGCGGCGTTGGATCTGGGCGCGCGCGCGATGGCGACGCCGACGACGGCGCGCGACGGGCGATTGGCGCGATGGATGATCGCGAGGACGACGACGACCGTGCGCGCGGCCGCGGGACGGGTGGCGTACGGCGCGCGAGGCGAGGACCGGAGGCGCGCGGCGACGCGCGGGACGACGCCGCGACGCGCGGCGGCGGCGGCGGCGCCGACGACGGGCGCGTCGCTCGGCGCGTGCGCGCACGGGTATCGATCTGCGTCCGATCCCGAACTCGGGTGCGTGTGCGGTCACGGGTACACCGGCGAACGTTGCGAAATCGACTCCATACCTTCGTGCGATAGGAGTGAGACGTTGACGTGTGCGTATGTGTTTAGTAACTGGGGCGACGTGTTCAATTACCAGAGTTGCGCTTGCGTGAGCGAATGCGAAAAAGTTTTGAAGCGAGAACACAATCTTACGGACGATGAATGGTGGAGAGTTTCGCGAGAAAGGCCAGAAAATGCGCGAGTTTGCGTCGACAGTAGAGGGAGGAAAGTGGATATGTTCACGCGCGAGGTCGTCGCGGATCCAAGAGAGATTAAAGACAAGGATATGGGCATGCACCATCACAACGTGTGCACGCACAACTGTTTCGGGCGGGGCGCGTGCAAGGATCGCGTTTGCTATTGTGAACCCGGACGGTTCGGCTTATTGTGCCAGTTCGACGCAGAAGATGTTTTGCCCGACACAATTCAGGCGTCCGTGGGTACGAAACTTGATGGAAAACGCGAAATGCGAATAGAGTATTACGACGGGTTGTCGTCTCACGCACGCATTCCGCTCTTCACCAAGGCGTTTTACTTAGACATTAAGAAGGAACATCTCGGCGAAGACGACCTACACGAGCAGTCACACATTGAGGCTTCAATGTACGCCACAGCAGTGCATTTAGCAGAGACAATCGTCGAGGATCGCTGGAAACGAACTTTGCTGACGCCTCGGTCAGGGACGCACAGGTTCATTCCATTCTTTCCCACAAACATAGGGGCTAACGTGGGCAGTGTGGAACTCTATCTCCCGAATGTCGTCAGACAGTTACCTAACAACGACGGCGACGACGATCCTTGGTACATTTTCGTGAGCATGCAAGATCGAGGCTTCTGTTCGATCGACCGCTTGCGTGGGATGCTTCCGCCGCGCTCGATCGTGGTGCATAGTTTCGGTTGGCAGAGGTTTCCGGGTGCTCAAGACACGAAAGCAACGGCGAGATGTCACCAACCAGACTTTGACGTCGTTATTCCAGCGCGTCGACACCCAAACCAAGCCCCGTTTGACGAGAAAGATTTTGATCCTTCCTCGAAAAATGGGCCTATGCTCTTCTTCAACGGTGGCGTCAGAAAGAAGGCCGACCAATGCTCGGGTGAAAGGCTATTGCAGAACAGATTAAGTTGCATGGATGAGTACAGCCAAGGCGTTCGGATGTACGTCGTCGACACGTTCCAAAACGTGAGTGGTTTCAGCATAAACGAACCGCACGGTGGCGACTCGTGGTCCCGAGAGACCATGAAGACGGCGAAATACTGCCTTGTCGCAGGCGGCCATGGGTTCGACATGCGTTTGGTGGATGGCATCGCTCGAGGTTGTGTGCCGCTACTCACGGCGATTCAGATGAGTTATCCGTACGATAACGTCTTGGACTATTCGAAATTCGCCCTGAACATTGGTGACAGATGGGGTGAAACTAGTGATAAACTCCAGGATTTGCCCAACACGCTGGAAAAAGCTTACGCAAAGGGCGATCACGGCGACATGGTTCGACGTCTGCGGTATGTTCACGAAGTATACATCATGGAGGATGAACTGACCGATGAAGAGTACCGAGAAGCGCACCCGAACAACGTCACCGATGCTGGTCTTGCGACTGCCTTAGCTTCTATCGCGATGGTCACAAACGTCGTCTTACCGCCGTATTTCCGAACGACGCTGTGTCATGTGGCGTACGACTTTCTGGACGGGCGAGGACACGAGATATTTAAGAAGGATGCGCTCGATTCGTTTCACTGTTCACAAGCGGAGCGACGAGCGGTGTAAAACGTATGTAAAATAGCCGCAGTAGACGCGTCGAGTGATCGACGCGAGGTGTAGACATGGATTTTACGAATTGACAACGCAGACCGCGAGTCGGAGCACCAACGTCGACGATGTGTATCGATATGCTCGTTTTCGGTGCGGTATATGTAGTCTGTGTCGCGACATGGGTTAATTATCTGTTAATTATGCGTGTTACCCTCCGCCGCCGGCGCGATGGCGACGCCGTCGTCACACGCGCGCGGTCGGCGTCGATCGAGCGCGTGTGACGGGTCTCGCCCGTCGAACGAGGTGCGCCCGTCGAGCGCGATCGCGCGCTCGAGCGCGGGGCGCGCGCCGTGGACCGCGCGACGCGCGCGCGGACGACGTCGAGGACGAGTTCATTGACGCTTGGCTCCTGAGACGGTCGCGCGGCCGGGGTAGTTGCCGGGCACACCCGCGCGATGCGTCGTGATTAGAGATAAGCTGTTCAGACCGAGACGTTCGATGCGCGGCGCGACGGTGGTCCGGGACGCGGGCTCGCGTGCGTGATTTTTCTCGTGGGTTTTTGTTTTTGATTCGCGCGTCGAAACGAAAGGGCGTCTGTGTGTACGGATCGCGGGGCGGCGCGAGCCGCTATCCCGCGAGCCCGAAGGGATTTCGCGCCCGATAGTGAAGGGATCGATCATTGTCACGCGCGCGAGCGGGAACGTGACTCGCCGTGCGCCCTTATTCGGTCCCACATTTCGCGGAGAGAGTCTTCCAATCGGGAGGCGTCGGCGGAGAAGCGCGGCGGACGTCGGGGATGTAAACGTGTCCACATGGCTGATCACCGTGAGGAATCAAAACATAATATTCACCATCTTTCGACTGAGACGAACGCGGCGTGGGAGAGCGTTTACGTCTTCCGAATGGATTTGACCGACGAGGCTGAAGATTTTTTTTTTAGTACATGAAAGCCTTCGCTGCAGAGCTGCGCGCCGAGAGTTGGGGACGTAGAACACCCCCGATTCGATTCGTTGTGTCAGTTTTGAGCGGAGGCGAAAATAAAGGGGATGGGCTCTCCGTGGAGCCTTGGCGTTTCTATAAGTCGTCGAGGTTCCTCCGTAGTTCCACCACAACTTTGCGCCTTTTTTTCTCAGCTTTCGCGAGACTCACGGATTTTTTCATTTTCGCTTGCGCAGATGACGTGATCGATCAAAGTTCTAGGTGCGTACTGGACAACTATGATTCGCTCCTCGCTTTTTTTGTGGTTTCCTTGACAAAGCAGAGGGCTGATCAGGCTTAGGCCGCATGTGCTGCTCTCCCGTCGTTCTAAGGTACAGCCGATAGCGTCGGCATGGGTGAGTAGGGGGCTGCCTTTCCACAGTTCTCTGCTCAATCGTCGTCGCGACATTTCATTATTCTTCGTGCTCGCTCGTCCATGCATTGGCGGTGATTCCAAAAATCTGATGCTGATTATCTATGAGGCTTAATCAAACCTCTAAGAAGTAATGAAGCCAACATCGTGCGACGAAGTGGATGAATGAGTGGACGACATCATTCAGCGACGAAGGCAAAGTCAATGACGAATATCTCTTGACTTAAGACGTCGTGAATGATCACCAAATTATATTGCTTCAAACTTCCCGAGGCTTTGTCTGTCCATCTCAAAAGGCGCGCCGCGCCCGGACGTGTCGTATGGGTCGTCTCATCCTTCATCCGCGCTCGTTTCTTTTTTATTTTTTGCGACTTTGCCTAAGGCGCTCCTCACTTAACGGTGGAGATGATCTTTTTACTTCCGTCGCAAACATCAATCTTGTCTCGCGGAAACGCGAGGCGCCGGCCAGACAACCGGTTTGCGGTCCGATGACTCCACGACGACCGAGCCACTTCATCGGCTCGTCCGTCACTACATTAAGGACTACATCTCCATCCGACGCATTCGATCACTCGATCACTGACCCGCGTTTACCTCGATCACGCTTTCGCAGGCTCTAATCATCACGATCACGCTCTCGATCGCGGTCCTTGTAACATCACGCGTGTACTGTATGGCAGCCGCGAACTGCGAACTCGCTTTTCCACACCCTCCCTCGTCTCCACCGCTCGATCCATCGCCGACCGCACTCTCGCCCCTCTCGACGTCCAGTCGACGGACTCGAACGAAACGAACGAATCGCTCCCAACAGCGCTCGATGTCCGCGTCGTTGAGCGCGCGCGCGCGCGTCTCGTCGTCCATCGCGGTCGATGGGTTTCGTCGACGTCACCAACAATCGACCAAGCGAGGTTTGGTCGTTCGCAACGCCAAGGGCGACATCTACGAGGGTACGTCTGGGTTTCCGCGGCGCGCGCGCGCGCAGAGGACTGACGAGAGTGTTTGTGGTCGTTCTTCGTCGCAGCGACGCTCCCGAAGCCGATTGAGTTGAAGTTTAACCGCGGAAACGACGGCGGCGCGTACGTCGTCTTCGTCCCGAACGATCCGGCGTACGAACGATTCCAAGTCGGCGATAAGATCGAAGGCGTGAGCGCGTCGTTCGGTGACGAGGTCTGGGGGGCTGAGTCGTACGGACAGGTGATGTACGCGATCAAGAACAGAAACGGTGACATTTATCTGAAGATGTTGGACATGGACGGCGACGTGTCCGCGCTTACGGCTGAGAAGAGCTCGGCGTTCAAGAACGAGCGTGCGGGTGGGAACTACGGCGCCGGGACGAAGGAGCAACAGATGAATAACTATTCCAAGAAGCGTGAGTTGGAAACCCAGAGATTAGACATGTTCGACGAGGCGATCGAGCTATACAACGCGAAGGATTACGACAACGCGCTCATCGTCTTCGAGGAGGTCGCGGCGTTGGAACCGAAGAATTACATGGGCGACGATTTCTCCAAGACGACAGAAATTTACAAAGTGGCGCAGTACAACATCGCGTGCTGCTTCTCCAGGATCGGTAAGACGGACGAATCCCTGCTCGCGCTCAAGCGCTGCATGATGGCGGGTTGGACCGACTACAAGAAGATTCGTCAAGACCCGTCGCTCGAGTTCATCCAAAAGCAACCCGGCTTCACCGAACTCCTCGACAAGTTCGACGAGCCCTTCATCAACGTCAACGCCGTGAACGCGTTCAAGTCTCTGTTCGGCGGTAAGAAGTAGACGCGCGTCTTCGTCCTCTCGCGTGTAACGTCTCCGCACACACCGCTCCATCGTCCCCAATACGCATCGAAGACATCCATTGACGACGTCACGCCTCGTCAGCCATCACACCGCACCTCGCGCGCCGTCATGCGCGCCGCCGCGCCCGCGATCGCCCGCGCGCGCGATCGCGTCGTCGTCGTCCACGCGCGCGCGCGACCGAGCGCGAGAGCGATCGCGCGCGCGTCGACGACGACGCGCGCGAAAAAGCTGAGCATCGACGAACTCGGTCGAGCGCCGAGAGGTGCGAAGGGGGCGACGACGACGACGACGACGACGACGACGACGACGACGACGACGACGACGACGCACGCGACCGTCGCGCCGTCGTGGTTGACGACGACGAACGCGAGCGCGTTGATCGGCATCGTCGCGCTGGCGTACGGGACGAAGACGATTTTCGACACGCCGAGCCGGACGTACGTCGACGGCGAGAACACGGTGGGAACGGAGTACGACGCGTGGACCGAAGAGGGGATTCTGGAATATTACTGGGGCGAGCACATTCACTTGGGGTGGTACTCGGACGAGGACTTGGCCAGGGGGGCGGGGACGCTGTTGGGATGCAAGGTGAAGGATTTCATCCAGGCCAAGTTTGACTTTGTGGATCAGATGGCGGACTGGAGCGAGGCGAGGGCGCCGGCGAGGGTTTTGGACGTCGGGTGTGGGATCGGCGGGACGTCGAGACACCTGGCGAGGAGGTTCGGCGTCGGGACGGAGGTCACGGGCATCACGCTATCGCCGAACCAGGTGAAGCGAGCGACGGAGCTCGCGAGCGAGCAAGGGGTGACGAACGCGAACTTCCAAGTGATGAACGCGCTCGAGATGACTTTTGAGGATGATACGTTCGACTTGGTCTGGGCGTGCGAGAGCGGCGAGCACATGCCGGATAAGAAGAAGTACGTGGAGGAGATGGTTCGCGTGCTCAAGCCGGGGGGCAAAATCGTCATCGCCACGTGGTGCCAGCGCGAGACCCCGCCCGAGTTCACGCAAAAGGAGAAGGATAACCTCCAATTCCTCTACGAGGAGTGGGCGCACCCGTACTTCATCTCCTACGAGGAGTACGAGCGTCTTTTGCGCGGCACTGGCTCGATGGAGAGCGCGGCGTCGGAGGACTGGGTCAAGAACACGCTCGTATCGTGGCGTCACTCCATCTGGGTCGGTGTCTGGGACCCGTGGCCCGTTGTCTTCGCCGGCCCGCGCCAGTGGTACAAGGTTGTTCGCGAAATCGTCACTCTCGAACGCATGGCTCGCGCTTTCGAGAGCGGCTTGATGACGTATGGGATGATTAAGGGCACGAAAAAGGGCACGCAGTTAACGCTCGACGCTCGCTAGCTCGTTGTCACCTAGAAATTCATACACGAAATAGACTCCATCGGAACGCACCAAACGACTCCATTCCTTGAACACGGTCGGTGCGAACACGGTGTGAGCGCGGCAATAATTCGCTTCTCATTAAAACGTTCATCGAATAGAAGCCGCGGCTGCCTTGATTTCATCGGTGCCGTCGACCACGTTCGACGCCCCGATCGCCATCGCGCCCGCGACGCACGCGCCCGCGACATCATCCACGCTCACCGGCTCGGCGAGCGTGAGCGCGATCGGCCCCGGAGCCCTGGCGGCGAGCGCCTTGATCGGTCCCGATCCGAGCACCTTGCTCAGCGCGTCCCCGTACGTCTTCGTCACCCGCGGCGGCGCGAGCGAGAACTCCTCTCCACCGTAAATAAACGAAGGTTTCACGATAAAGTAATCTTTCTCGTCGTAATTCTCCCTCAAGCACGCCTCAGCCGTACTCTTCCCCTCAAAGTATCCCTTCATCAGCGGCGTCTTCCCGACCACGTCCGGGACGATGGACGCCACGCTCACGTACACGA